TAGCCAGTGGAGTAGTTGTTTTCTGATAGGCGTTAGTCCATTCAACCTATTGTGAAGGAATATCCAAGACTGGCTTGAACATTTAAAGTTCATTTCTTTAGATGGAATAAAACAAAAAAAGGCAAAGAAATGAGTCATTAGGCTCAAAATGGACCAAAATTATTGATGCTATTGTATAGCCAAATATGTGTCGTGATTTTGTAAACTTTCAAGGGAAAATTTCACATTTAAGTGATTTTCTGAATACGTTATAATGAATTTTCATAGAGTATCGTTGTTGTATCGTAAGTTGTATCTCGCTATATTACAAATCAATATTTTATTTCAATAATACATAGAGATCACCAAGTGATCATCTTTAAGAGGAAGATTAAACTAACCATACTTACAAAGCTATCCTTATTTATACCATAGATACCTGTTCTAGGTACCTGCGTCTTAAATTCTTAAATTTATTTTATAATATAATTTATTGAGTTACCTTGCTACCTTTATATCACGATATCATTATTAGCGATTTCTAGGGATCGGCACGAACAACAAAATTGTTGTTTTGGCAACTAATTAGTAACTATTTAGCTACAAATTGATGTATTTTTTTGCAATTTTGCTGGATTCGCCATGCTAGCCTGAAAGGGCTTCTATATGGTCAATTCGTTAGCCTGGATACTGTGTACTCCTGCAAAAATTTGGCTTTGTTCACATGCAAAAGCCCCACCATGTACTGATTATCAGTAGATACCAGCCTAAATTGTTGTTAGATGCAACAGCAAATTGTTGTTTCAAAAAGACAGTAGGCGTATCTGGGTTAATCATCAGTTCAATAAACTGAACGGATAAAGATGATCGGTACACGAAGTCTCCGATGTACATTTCTAGGGATCGGCACGAACAACAAAATTGTTGTTTTGGCAACTAATTAGCAACTAGTTAGCTACAAATTGATGTATTTTTTTGCAATTTTGCTGGATTCGCCATGCTAACCTGATAGGGCTCCATATAGAACGAAAGTTTAATGTAATGAAAAGTAGAAGTAAGTATTGACATCTATCCTCTCGAAAACGGCATCTATGGGATCCATGTAAGACTTGAAACACTAATGTCAGGCTGGGGCTCTCAACGGCAGTCCGTTACAACAAAGGCAATCTTCAACGTTGGCCGCCAAAAGTGATTCAAAATATGTCTTTCTTTAGGGTATTATCGTAGAGGAAATTCTAATGAGTCTTAAAAGCCTTGGGTACTAACTGCCAATCACGTACAACTCCATGTGCCAAAGAATCGGGCACAGTTACAACAGGTATCGATGGCCGATTTTCGTCTCTTTTCAGGTTTACCAATTCTATACATCTTTCGTTAACAGGATTCGTTTTGAACATAAACGATTGCAGTACGAATGCTTTGTCATGTCGATCAGTCACTGGAGAACTTCGTATTTTTACCTGGTGTTAGAGATCTATATCTTCTCTCGGATTTGGCGACCTTTTTGGTGTTGGCGAACTGTGTCTGCTGTCGAATGCTGGTGAGTGTTTGTCTCTCTTCGAATTTATGAGATGACCTGCTTCTCTTTTATGTAGGAGTACACCGTTCCTCATCTTCGTTTAGTTGATCCCTTTGCGATGAAGTTAGACCTCAGTCGTTTCACACAGTCCATCTTGCAGATGCTCTGGCCAATATAAAAACAGGTGTTCCTACCTAATCCCAACTTAATCATCAAACCGATGTCAGTTGTTCAAAGTATTCCCAGACCTGTCGCAATGTTACAATTGACTTTATAAATTATCCTTGAGACCTCAGATCAATATTCCTTAGGAATTGCAAGATTATATTCCCTTCCGCCGGAAAGAAGGATGTGTATTGACCAAGCGGTAACTGTAACATACTTCCCACACAGTATGTTTGGTTTTCGACCTGCATACCAAGTGTTTTTATCAAGCTTATTTTCGGGATGGCTCTTCATCAATGATTCTTCACAGTTGATCTTGGAACATGTTTGACGTTTATCTCTCTACATATTACGTTCTTCCAATTTTCGAGATCTCTTGTAGCTCAGTGCATATTCCAGTCTTAAATGGCCCACTTTTGTCTCTCCGTTATTTCAAAATGCAAAATGGGTAAATTAGTCTATAAACGAGCCTGTGAACATAAGGCTGTAGTGAGGATACCCTTCTCGAACTTACATCGAAATACCGAAAGCAAGTACTCAAGTATTCCGTTTGATTCATGCTAGTAAACGCACATCGATAGTTAAGATCTCGTTAATTCTCAGCTCACACAAGTTTCGACTCTTGACAGTTGTCGGACGACAGCTGTTTTAACGAAAAGGCCTATTTCAACCCATCTAGTATCAGTACTTTCGTAAGTACTTGAATATCATCACCGGTACTTGATTATATTATGAATTTACATTCAAAGTGGGTGGTACTATTATACCCTCCACTGCAAGGATTTATTCTGACAACCTTTCGACTGGGCAAAATGAAAGACGGGGAAGTGATAAAAGCACAAGCAGAGTGTATGCAAGGAATATTAGTGGAAGCATGTAAAAAAACAAACCCCGGAAGACTTAAATAGAGGAAGGAAAATTGAATGGTTGAATGAGAATTTAGAGAGGACGAGAAGGTGAGTTCGGAGAGGAATACCAGGTCAGGGGAGAAGAGAGAGAAGCGCGGTGTAAAAGAGACAATAATTAAGTGGGTAAGAAGAGAATAAACCAGTTGCAGGGGGAGAACCCATGGAATAGAGCGTATCAGCTCTATTCCAGGATAAGAAAGCTGAGGAGGTGCCCACGTCAGTGAAAAGGAACGACGACACCTTCACGGATGGGTGTCGGAGCCAATATCTGCTGTCTTACTACTTCCCTCGCAATGATGAAGGTCGCGGCTCAGAGACCAGATAACGGCTTAGAAGGATAGCTGGAGTATGGAGAATGGCAAAACAACCGGGAGCAACTCAGACCAATTAGTTTGTCAAATGCTTATAACCCGGCACGCATCAAAAAGTAAATGAAAAGAATGGATATATCTGTTAATATAGGGAAGATGTGTATGAACTTCATACGCAGGAGGTTGATCATGAGTGGAAGGGTCGCAGAGATGAATAGGAAATGTTTACAAATAATTAAGACAGGTTGGGAGGCTGAATGAAAGCGAGAATGAGGTACGGAATGGACATAGAATGATGAGAGAAGGGGTCGCATGAGTTTGCAAACATGCGACCTGTTGATCGTAGAGGGAAGGTTAGAAAGAGTTAGAGCGAAAGTGGTACTATGTTCGGCCAAATGCCAGACCTTGGAAGACAAAGGATGGGTATTGTTCAATGAAAGCAAGGCAGAGGAAATGTTCGTTTCTGCGAAAAAGATGGATAGACCACCTGTGCTCACTATGAGGAGTAGAGTGATCGAGTTAAATGTACCCCAAAATCGTGGTCGAGTTGTGAAGCTACTTTTTATCAACCTCATGAAAGAGGAGCAGAAGCGAATGACCACAGTCGCTGGTAAACTAAGAAGAAATAGTATGAATGTAAAAATAGAATGTCAGTAGATAATTGTATGGTAGTTATAAAGCCTGCGATATTGTATGGTGTACAAGTGGTGGAAGGTAAGAACGAACGAAACGAGAATGGCAAAACAGGTGTTAACTGCGCAGGAGCTTTTTCTGTTGTGGGTCGTACCGAAAAATCGCTAGCGCGACTTCGACTGTATTCCCGCGATTCCTCCTTACCCCTGGAATTCGCGGCCAGATATCAAGAGTGGAAGAGTATCGGCGTGCCAGAAGTGAATGCGAAGTAGGTTACTGGAAGAAACGGAGGATATGATCGAGGTGTAGGTAGACGCTGGTAGGAAGGATGACGAAAGAATGAGTGTAGCCTGGGCCTACTAATAAGGGAAAGTGTGTAGTATAAGAGTGGAGGGAATGGCCTGAAAAATATTACGTGGACTGGGAGCTATAAAGAAGGTAATTGAGGACAATTGCCAAAACGAATGAGGTTGATCAGCGTCTTTCAAAAAAGGAGAAGTAACAAACGGGCGGCTAGAGCGCCCAATCTCGCCGAAACACTTAGGAGTCGAGATGATGCTAAGTGTATTGAATGGAGACGAATGAATGAAGGAAATGAGAAAGCGCATGAAGAAGAGGACTGAATGAAGGAGCTGTGGGTTCTCCCACCTGACATACAGCAAAACAAATGAAAGAAAACGACATTATGAGAAAGGTAGGGTTACCTATGGACGGTACAGATAGGTTAAAAATAGGTTAGCTCTGCCATGGAAGACAGTACAACTGGTAACGGAGCACAATAACTTTACGGAGTATCTGTTCAGATTTGGACAGGGTCAGGTAGCGACGCGGTGGGTGAAACGGAGAGGGAGATTGAGACGAGAAGTGGACGAGATAGGATCAGTACAATTGAAGAAAAAACGAGCAGTAGATGGAGTGTAAATTTGTGAAAGAGAAAGCTGATTGTGTTGTTGACGATGAAGAAGGGTTGCTTTAATGGCTCTATCTCAGCCTGTCCTTGACGAATCAGATGAGAATTAATCATATTCATACTTATGAATATGATAAAATTAAGTCCATTAATTTTGGCCCATTTCGAGGCTAATGATTGATTTCTTGGACTTTTTATTTTCCTTTGTTTTATTGTTTTCAAACAAATTATGTAATATTACTTTTGAATTTTGAAGGGATTGCAATTACGATTAGAAAATTGAGATATTTTGGTAAATATTCGAATAACTTAATGAAAATGGAAGATCTTTTTTCCTCGCTGATTTCCAACTCGACATGGGAGTGTTTCTGGCGCCCGTATATCGAAAGGTAATGAAGCGGAGGCTTCACTAACTAGAGGTTATTTGTACATTCAATAGTTTACGGGCTAGAGAAACGCTGCATGCCGCGGCAAGTGTTTCATCTTCTGTTGTACTTCAAGTACAATAAATGTAAAATAAAAATAAAGTAAATAAATGATTCGCAGACGATCTCATATTTATAAAAACGATAAAAGCACTGAAAAGGTATTTTATTTCACATACATTGTCGATAATCAAAACAAACTGAATATAAAATCTAAGTGTAATCAACTGGAAACTAAACTGAAAACAAACATAAACAGACATATGTGATAGAACGATTATGAATCTAAGGTATTATGACATTGTGGGAGTATTACGTTTACCAGAAGCCGCCTCCATACCCCCGATGTGATGATGCTCTGGTTCATTCCTCTCCATACATTTCAGCACCTGAAACAATCAATTTGAACGATATTTTGTACGTTTCAACTCAAAATAGGTTTTCTAGATTCATACAAAAATATGAACCGCTTCAAATAATTCAGTTTTTCTTTTACAAAAAACCCGATATTTGGTAGTTCAGGTCACTCTGACCATAAATCACATTGCAATAATAATGCTTAATGATGTACTTTGGGACCAAATATAATTTTTTTTTCTACAGAAACCAAGGCCTGCTGCAAATATTTTTATAGGTTAAAATACAAGAAATCATTTTAGCGATTTTTTTAAGAAAAATTTAAAATCACCATTAGACTGGGCACCCTCTCAAATGGAGGTAAACTGAATTTCAAAACAATATTCAATACTAATTATTATGTGGTCGAATCAACATTCACATTGCATCATGATAGAATGTTAATTGCACACCTCCTAAATGGTTTCACCGATATGGGATTTGCCGCACTCGCATGGTATCCGGTAAATGCAATTCTTGGAACCGTAGTCCTCGTTTAGTGGCCTGGTTTTCGTGAGGCTGCTACGAATGGTGTTTCCGGATCTGAAGCAGGTTCTGATGTTGTACTGGGACCCAATTATTCTCATCCTTTTCGATAATCTTCTGACGTAGGGAGGTATAAGCACTGGTTGTGACAGCATCTCTTCCTTGCGAGGCTCTTGCTGTCTTCTAGTCAAAGTCTGTTCCACCGTCACTTTGGAGTACCCATTCCGTTGAAGATCTTTTTTTATTATGCCTAGTTTCTTCTCGACACCTTCCTTTGTATTGCAGAGCCCGAAAGCACTATCCACTAGATTCTTGATGATTCCTCTTTTGATAGATTGTTGGTGGCTGGATTCGTGGTTCAGATACCGTCCCGTGGAATGGTTTTTAGGTATGCAGATGTTTCCCACTTAGTGTTGACCCTCTTCACCAATACGTCTGTGAAAAGCAATTCGTTGTAGATTTCCTTCTCCATTCCGAAGTTAATGGAAGGTTTTACGTTGTTTATGTACTTCAGAAATGTATCTAGTTCAGTATTCCGAGGAGAAACCAGCAAATCGGAGATAGCAGAGCATGTTTGGACTCATCACACTAGTGACATTTCGAAATAAAGTTTTCTATAGAAGAACTGTTGATTATACAGGCCAACAAAAAAATGTTTTTCAAAAATGTTGAATCACTACAGTGGTTTTTATTTATAGTAGGTTACTTGAAATACAGTGTTGTAATGTAGGTTTCACTAGTCAGATGGAATTGGTTTATACTTCCTTTCTCTTTTTTCTTTGAAGTTTCTTGTGTAGCTTTTCCTGCGATGAGTCGCTTGTTGAGCTTCACGGTGAGGTGACCAACAGTAGTCTCCCATCATGTTGATGTTCCAGCGGCACTGGTAACGTTTTTCCATCAATTCAATATCTTGGTGAAAACGCTCACCCTACTCCTCACTAAAATCTCCCAAATTTTCCGGGAAGTAATCAAGATGACTGGGTCTTTTGCATTTCCTAAGAATTTTGTAATAACTTGCTTGAATGATACCCATGCTTCTTTCTCATGTATGGTCATTGTGGTTTCAAAGTTTACGTCGAACATCATTTTTCGAATGTTGGATCCTACAAAGACGCCTTCTTTAAGTTTAGCCTCTGAAAGGTTTGGAAATTTCTGACAGAGATATTTGAAACAAGGTCCATCTTCAGGCAATGCTTTTACAAACTGTTTCATGAGGCCTAACTTTATATGTAGCGGTGGTAAGATAATGTTTCTAGGATCTACAAGGTTTTAGCGGAGAATGTTCTTCTCGCCGGGTTTTGAAAGACTCCCTCACAGGCCAGTTCTTTCTGCACCAATGTTGATCTCTTGCTCTACTGTCCCATTCCCACAAAAAAAACGGAAATTTGGTAAAACCGCCTTGCTGACCGAGAAGCATGCATGTTACTTTCAAGTCACCACATATCATCTAATCATGAGCTGAATAGCCAATTTTATTTAACACTATTTCTAGGTTTTCATAGGTCTCTTTCATATGTACAGAATGGCCAACAGGTATAGATGCATAAGTGTCACTATTGTACTATTGTAAAACAGCTTTTAAACTAGTTTTGCGCTTTGATCAGACCTGGAATGTCTGAGCAGTACACTAAACACCTTCTTGTTCAAAAACTTACGAAAACTGCTGCTCTCTCTTCCTATACACATATATGCTAGTTCCAACTGCCAACAAGTTCTTTTCTTTTAGTCTACAACCAAGAAATTCAGCATTTTCTTTGGTTAACCCAAGATCCCTAACTAAGTTGTTAAGTTCAATCTGAGTAAACAGTTTAGACTCTATATTTGCTGTAGCGCATTGGAACACTTCATCATATTGCTCATCTATATCTGCAGTACATCAGAAAACATTTCAGTTTGAACAAAATTCAAATCATCTGGAGGTTCTGGAAACGGCAAATCTACATCGTGCCCTACTGGTCGGATGGCGAAAATTAGGTTATGGTAGCTTATTACCTTCTTGTCTTTCGAGTTATGGCCAGTAATATCAATACTACAAAAGTAGCAATCATCAGTATGGTTTCTAGGTTCCCTCCATACCATAGGAACTGCGTACTCAAAGGCTTTTTTCTCCTTTTTTGACCATTTTCTAAGATCTTCAACACGAACATAACATACCATTTGCGGGGCCCAAGATTTATCCTGATCACCAAGTTTATTACCAAAATATGAGAAATAAAACTTTTTCACAAAGTCTGTAATGTTTCTTTGATGTTTTTTAATAAGAAACTCACCATGAATACAACAAAAACTATCAGCAGAGTTCTTACAACCGCGATTAGACGTTTTAATGAGAACATGTACTGGAAACCAGAAAGTAAGGTTAGATTGACAGAAAACAAAATATCAGCTGTGAACAGAACACTATAATTCCCCTTTCTCTGGACAGTAAATGTGTTTCAGCATAATTAAACAATTTTTTTCATCGTTGGCCTGTGATTAAACTGAAAATTGTTAAAAAAGGTGAAATAAAATTTTAGCAAAATTAGCAGTCGATGCGGTGACACAAAAAAATTGAAACTCTATCACGTCTTCTAGGATATACTCAAATAGGTCTATGTTAACGAAGATCAGCTTTTCCCTTGAGAAAAAAGATACTTTTCAGCTCGTCATTATTAATATGTGTACTATACCCTCGAGCGATACGAGCAGCACATGCCCCGGATAAGTTCTTTGTGAAAACCTCTGGTATTCCTCAAGGTAAACCTGTCTGACCGGCACCGCTGAAAATAGGTTAGCGGGACGCGTGGCAAGCAACGCATAAACTTTTATTCAAATTTAAAACCATGGGGGCGCTATTCCTTATACGCGCGCCGTGTTTTTTTTTGGTATAATGGGCACGCGCTCGGGTTTTTTTCGCAAAAATGTCGTAATTCACTGAGCGAGCTATAATAATCAAGGTGGCAATGATTTAACCGTGTAGCACCGATTAAAAAACCATTCTACAATTGACGATAGCATTTTTATGGTGTTTGTGTGTGAGTGTGCGGGTCAGGAAAAAACAAAAGAGCAGGAAACAGATGGCTCCGATGGTGTATCGTTTCTTCAAGTACTGGCATTACAATACTAAATAAGAAGATTCAATAAAAGAACGCCACGGGGGCTGTTTTGATGGTGGTATTATTAATTTTTCGTCATGGACACATCAGGCAGCGGATAGTTGCAAATTGTGAGAAGTTGAAGGGGCGAATTAGTTGGTGTTGGTTGAAAACTCTGCCGCAACATTTGATGGTTACAAATGGGTTACAAACGTAACAAACACATATATTCATATATTCATAGGTATATATGAGTATCGTACAAAAATGGATTCTGAGAATAATGTTGAAGAAGAACATAAGATATCCCAGTTATACCTCTTTTAAATACCATGTAAAACAATGGATGAACACTACAGATAGAAACATATTTAATAACCTTATAAACCTAAAGTTTTTACAATAAACATTTATACTCCAAATCACCCAAATACGACATATACCGGACTATGACAACCCAAATAAGACATTATTATTATTATAGTTCACGTAAACGATATAGTGCAACCTACCTTCCAACAGTTCCTGGTAATTCCTCTTCCACATTCTCTGTTTCACTATCACTGTCGTCATTTAAATCTATAATGAATTTATTTCCACCATTAATATGGAAGTGTCCAATCTCCATATAGTCTATTCAACTAAAATAACTTTTTCAATCCTATTCTGCCAGTCTTCGGTAATATTAGATAGTTCTTCTTTAACTAGCTCTATTACCTTTTCATCAAATTTTGGAAAATTATCTTTAACGTCTGATGCTTTGTTTCAATTCTTCCCAAATGAACTCGATGGGATTGAAAACACAAAAATAGGGGGGAAGTCTCGGTATGGAGTGTCCATACTTTTCAGCAATACTCTCAAGGGCATACACTTTTTCAAATGTTTTTGTCTGTAAAACTTGAAGTAGTTGGTTTTTGGTATAGTTATCTTCAAAATACAAATTGTTATCCATTAAAAAACTTTGTATTTCATCTTTCCTCGAATTTTTATTCGGTACTTTGATGAGCTGTCGCGAATGATAGGAGGCGTTGTCAAGAACTATTACACTATTCGCATCCAAATTTGGGATCAATGTGTTTTCAAACCATTTCTCGAAAATATTAGCTTCCATGTTCTTATGATAGTCAACATTGCAGTCCTCAAGTTTTTTCCACATAATTTCAAAGAATTCGGAGCCCATCCTTTACTTCCTCCGCAATGCACAATGATTAGTCGCGATCCTTTGTTTGCAGGCATGTTAGGCGTACACATTCTCGAACCATCAGTCCACCCTTTCGTAACTGTGTCGTGAGTGTCATACCAAGTTTCGTCCAAATAGAAAATTTGCCGTTGTTCTTGTCTATATTTAGTTATTTGTTCTAAGTATTTGTTACGCAATTCCACTATTCCTCTGCTTTCCATAACTGCTTGACGTTTTTTTATTATTTCAAATC